TTAACTTTACTTTGTGTATTTTTACTTTGTGCTTTTACTTTGTACTTTTACTTCATGCCCTTTATTTTATGCCTTTACTTTTATGCACCATTTACTTTAGCATTTACATTTCATGTTATTTTCATCTTTTCTCACTTGAGCATTTATCTTTATGTCCTTTTATCTTTTCTCACTTGAACATTTATCTTTATGTCATTTTTATATTGCTCACTTAAGCTTTCTTTTCTTTTTGAAGACACTTAATAACCAACTTGAACATTAAAAAACTTTAAGGTTACTTGGACTATTTGGTTACCATCCTTGGCATTATGGAGTTATGGACCTCTTGTACTTAGGATTAGAAGCCTTGATTACCCTTGGGACCTTGTGACACTGTTGTTATTTTGTCTGGAGTTCTTGGGGTTTACCCCCAAGATATTGGGTTGATTTTCTTTGTGTGCGTGTTATTCTGATTATGTGTTTTGTCTGTGATTGGGAATTCCTTTGTATATAGTTGTTACTTTGCCCAATTTTTGTAAAGACTTAATTCATCTGAAGCTTGGTATTCCTACGAGGTTTAGTATTTTTGCTTGCTTGGTTTCAATCCAAATGATGGGAAATCTACATTGACTCTTTATATCAAGTGTTGGCTTATTGTTGGTTAGACGATTCTTTTCCTTAGCTTTTACCTTATGCTTTAGGATAGTCCCTCCATCTCCTCATATCTTCTTTAATTTCAAAATTTTCTCCCTCCTTTTTAAAAACTCTTCTTGTTTTCTAACTTGAACCACTTTCATAATAAACTAGGACTTAGGTCCATGTATTTTCAAAATCTTTTCTTAATAAAACTTTAACCAACTTAATCATACTTTGACATTTTTTGTGAGAAGACTAAAAGTCATTAATCTCATTCAAACCATTTTTCTACTTTGGCTTTTTACTATAAAATTTTTCTTAAAAAATTAAACTCTTGTTGATTCTTGTAGTAATGTGAGCTACTATACTTCTATGATATGTAGTGAAGTGAGATATTTTCCACTTGGGTGTTGAGTGAGACTTTGTTGATTTTAAAATCCAAGTTATATCCCCCACTTTGATATGATGCAAATTCTCCTTTCTCATGATCGTAGATAGTAAGTGTGTTTTCCACTCGGATATGACGATGATGTTTCTTCTCTTAAAATTAACCAACACACATGTGTTTTAAAATTTTTGAGGTGAACTACGAGTACCCTGATCCCCTATTACACGTAAGATGGTACATAGGCACTAAAGGTTCGCAACTGTGACAGGTGCAAAAATAGTAAAAAAAACTTCTTTTCACATCTCCACCATCTATTTTTGTATACACCATTTATAGCCAAAATACACAAATTTTCAAAGAGGTTCATGTGGAGTATCGTAGATGTTTAGGGTGCTAACACCTTCCCTTTGCATAACCAACCCCCGTACCTAGATTATCCCCCCCCCTTCTTTTGGGTTTATTCGCTCTTTTCCCATTCCTCTGGAAATAATAAAGCGCGGTGGTGATTTTTATTTGATATGTGCGAGTTAAGTCAATCCAATGGTTTAGTCTCAATATTTCTACCGTTACAATCTCCAGACAAAGATTCAGCCAACTCTTCATTTTTTTCTTTCAACTGAGGCGTTACCTTCATTTTGAGTTACTGAATTTTCAGAAGCTTTGAGAGAAATTATTTTTACTTTCTTTTAAGGTTTATCTTCTAGGATGAGGATTTCATGAGCATGAAGTGATCCAATGAGTTCTTCTACTTGAAGGACTTTTAAGTCCTTAGCTTGAGTAATGGTTGTTACCATTGGTCTCCATACTTTTGGTAGACTTCTCAAAATTTTCCTTATTCTCTCGTGGGTAGTGTAAGTTTTTCCAAGTGATCTTAGTTCATTTATGATGATGGTGAATCTGGAAAACATTTCATCAATAGTTTCATCTTCCTTTATTTTAAAAGTTTCAAATTTTCTTACCCCATATCAATTCTTTCTTCTTTTACATGGCTTGTTCCTTCATGGTGAATTTTGAGCTTATCCCATATTTATTTGGTTGTTGTGCACTCTTATATTCTATCATAATCTTCCCTGCTTAATGCACAGGATATGATAAATTGAGTTTTTCAATTTAGGAGTACCTGGTTGGTTTCTTCTGAGGTCCAACTTGCTTGAGGTTTTTCTATAGCTGGAGCATCTTCCGTTGGAGTGGTTTTTGGAATGTAATTTTATATTTCAACTATAGACCACATATTTATATCTTGAGACATGAGAAATAGTTCCATCTTATCTTTCTAGTAGTAGTAGTAGTCAGATCCACCGAAAAATGGAGGTTTGTGAGTTGATCCTCCTTCATGTATGAATTTGTTTGGACCAAACATCCTTTTGGTTTAGGATCGTTTTTACTCTGCACGGTTAAGTGTTAGTTCAGAGCTTGAGCTCTAATACCAATTAAAGTAACTGTATTGTCACTAGGAAGGGGTTTGTAAGTTTAAAATATTTAGTAATAAAATGAATTGAGTAGACAAGGAATGTAAGTAACACACAATAAGTTTATCCTGATTCCCCAAAGTTGGTTAGTCTAGTCCTCACACACAGTGAGATTTTTCTTATTCTGCACAAACTATTCTTGTCAAGAATAATTTTGGTAACGTTTTTTCAAGCCTCAAATGGCTTTACACTTACTAAAGATTTTTTCTTTAGATTTAGATTACACTTCCTTTTTCCAAGTGTTTTTATATCACTTGAGAATATACAAATAATAATTTCAATAAAATTCAAAACACTATGTGGCAGTGATTTGCTTTGTATGAGAGATGTTTGATTTAAAGATCACAGTTTTAGATGTTTGCTTTCTTGTGATTAAATTGATTGATTCTTTTTGAAGATAGAATAACCTATTTATAATCTTTATTTGAAGTAGTCATTGAGAGGTAATGATGATTTCTTTGTACTTTTGTGATGAGATGTCCAAAACGTATAACAAGGATGGAGCCTAAGGCAAGTGACAACAAATAGCCATTAAATATTTTATGCAGAATACTATAGTACTCATCTCATACTCGCAGATGGAAAAAATCTCAGTACCTGAGTCCGTACCCGTTTGCGCACCAACTTTAACACATATACTCACGCCCTGTGGATATGTTAGAACCTGTACCCGTTACCTGCATTTTTAATAAAAATAAATAGATCAATTATAAAATATTATATCATTTTAAATTTTTAAGAACATTAAAAAAAATTTAAAAAAAATATTTTGTTGAATTATGAAATAAACAAATACAATATTAAATACGTAATAGTTTAACATTGAAATATTTTTTAAAATTGATAGACATACATTTTTTTATAAAATAAGATAAATTAAAATATATAAATATATATAATATATAGGTATAGAATAGATTGAGTACTAAGATGTCCATATCCACTTATTTTAGTGGATAATTATCTGAGATCGTATTTATTTTTGTGGGTTTTTTCCTATTCATTGAAGGTATTTTGCATGTGCCCAATGAGAATGAGTTAAATTGCCATCTCTATGGATGATTATCTATATTTATTTTTTTCATTTTAGAAACTTATTTAAACTTATGTTAAATTCATAGATTAAATATAATCATATTATAATTTATGTTAGTGTAGTTTCTTTAACAAAACTCTTATTTTTTTTTAAATATTTATATATTTTATTTAATTTATTTTTATTAAATCATATAATAAATAAAGTATAAAAACACAATATTCTCGATTAGACAATTACTGAGTCAAAAAATTATGATAAATATTAGTGCATAATTCTTTAATAAACATTTATTACATTAATTTTGTTTAAGATATAATAACATTTTGCAATAAACCAAAAATATTTTTATATAAAATGAATTCAATGGAAAGTAACTCTACGAAAATATACTGCCAGATTTATCCAAAAGTATGTTTTTTGAATTTTATTTTTTTACAAAATGAAGATATAACTCACTTATACATAAATTTGATATACTTACTACATCCCAAAATACATTTTTTTAAGAGTGTTTTTTATTTTTCACTATAGTTGAAAGCATTACTTATGGTTGAAAAGCAATTTTCAAATTTTAAAGATGAGCGAGCCTCAAAATAACTATAAAGGCCTCAACTTTTTCCATCAAAATTCTTTAATTAAAAAAAATATATATTTTTAAAAGAAAATATATATTTTTTTTTGTTCAGAAGAAAAATAAATTTTAAAAAACATTTTGTACTTTATTATCAGAATAAAATAAAATAAAATAAATAGATTCTTAGAAAAAATAAATAAAAATAAACTTTTGTGATATTTCCTAAAATTTTCACCAATTGTTTTTCTTTTAAATACTTTCAAAATTAATTATCAAATAAAATATTTTTTAATAAGTTTTTGATTAAAAAGTATTTTTAGATTATGTTTTAAAAATAAAATATTTTCATAAAAAATATAAATTTTGAAAAAAAATAAACTAAAATTTTTTTTCAAACAATTTTTTTAAAGGAACAAGACCCTTAAATCCCCTAAACTACACCCTAAAAAATTAAAATGGAACTTTGTCATGTAAATTCCATGCTCAAACAATAAGATTGTCAAATACAATACAAGTCCCCACACCAGATTCATTACTCACCTGCACATGAAAATTGGCAACAAAATATGGCATTCCAGAGTATGATTCTTTTAAGAAACAAAAACAGAAACAATTAGAACATACATTTCAATAAACATTACCTGCATGTTGAATGTGCATAAGCAAAACAAATAGATTCACCAAATGGGAGTGATTCTCATAAACTGATAAAGATGACAGCCAACCGATATTTTTTCTGAAGTGCAAATTATTTCGCAGAAATTTTAAACCAGCTGAGTAAACTATTTTAATGCGGAAGGAACTTAGATATTTGAGAAAAAAAGTTAAAAAGAGAAGAAAAAAAAAATACCATAGGTGTTGTATGAGAGTCAAAACTAGGAGAGTCATAAAAAACAAACTAGTAATCCACTCATTTCAGAAATCTAACCATTTCTGATAATAGACACATGTTGCTGGAGAGATAGTGCCATCTAGTGAACAAAAGCTCATTCTTTGACAAGAAAAACATGGAAAGGAAGTCATGTCAGCAGTCTTCTTTTCCCCTCTAACTCCGCCTTTGCTTTTGCTTATGTAACAGGTTTTACCAACAGTAATAGATGAAAACTCGCCATATCCAGTACTTATCATCTGCGTGATCACATCATCCAAAACCAAAGTTTGCAAAATCTCTTCCATTTGTTTTGTTGTGACTTTAGTATTAAAGACCCCGCTGCTCCTTTTAATCCACTCCACACATCCATCACATGTGGAAACTTTCTGCATGAAAATGCATTTCAAGCACGCGTCTTTTAGACTGTTAATATAATTGACATGAAGTTTCCCATCACTATAAAAATGACCACCAGTGATTTCCTCGGAAGGCATAAATTCTTTTGCCATGTAGTGCTTTCTACCTTTGTTTTGAATAGTAGTAACTTCCTTTATCATATTCTTGGCTATAAGTGTCTTCAGGGATTTATTGACCACAGTAGTAGGAAGGTTTGTTTCTCTTTTCATATCTCCAGTCCATATCCCTATGTTTTCCCTGCTCCGTATTAGGTTAAAGAGTAAACGCTCTTCATCTGTCAACACCGGCTCCGACACTTTTTGTCGCTTCCGTTGAGGTAAACCAGATTCTTGCAGGAGATTCATTCAAGAGAAAAATATCAGAGTATAAATTAAAGTGTTAAAAAAATTATAATAGAGAATCATTATACCTATCCATCTAAAGTTTTTGAACATGAAAAAGAGGAAATATGTCTATGACTGACTATGACAATTCCAAACACATCTAGCAGCAGAATCAAAATTCCAAACACATATCTAGCTTCCACTTCCCTTATCTTGAATGTGAATGTCCAATGCAATCCAAAATCCCCTCAAAATCCAAAATTAGAAAACAGAAAAATGAACAGTAAATGTAAATGAATATTCAACCTCTGAAAATTTTCCAATTGCCATGAAATTTAAACCCTAAACATGAAGGAGAGTGGAAGCTAAAACGGATAAATAAAAATCGAATAAAGGAAAAAGAACGAGTTTCTCACCCTTCCTTCTGCGACGAATGACGGTTGCCGGAGAGTTGAGATGAGTGCCAATTTCACAAAGAACAGAGGCAGCGGAATGATGGGCCGCTTCACAAGAACAAAGAGGCTGCGGAATGATGGGCCGCTTCACAACTATATCGATTGGGCTTTCAAAATCCTATTACATTACTCAAACTAAAACTCATCAAATAACTGTTCCGATTTTGGTTCATTTTCACAACTTTGTAACTAACTCTTTCGGTGTAAAAAAATATTATTTTAATCAATAATTTCATGTTCTCATGTATAAATATTATTTTTGTTTAGGTATTGTTATCAAAAATGTTTGAGTTAATAGTAAATTTTCGTATATAAAAATATTAAGATTAATAATAAATTTTTTTCGTATATCATTTATTGAATCAAAAATAAGTAACAAACTTGTGCATACGCACCGGATTCTAGTACAGTACGCGTATTTGTTTCAGATAAATTTTTTTTATAGAAATGAAAAACGTGTTTAGAGTAAAAATGAGATTTGTCATTAGTAAAATTTAAATTTTTTATGAACTAAAAAACGTGCTCAAAATAAAAATAAGATTTGTCATTAGTAAAACTTAGATTTTTTATGAACTAAAAAACGTGTTCAGAGTAAAAATAAGATTTCTCATGCTAAGTACGAGTTTAGTGCATCATTTTCAAACAAGTTCAAAGGACAGGGTAGTGGTTCATAAAAAAGGCAAAAGCATAAAAAAATCATGAGCAATACATCAAACATGCAAATATTTCGCAAAGCCTAAGATATATGCAAATAGACAGGCAAATGTTGATAGCAACAAATAATTCTTTGGAGCATGTATGACACCTATAATCATCCTTGATCTCTTTAAAAAGGAATATATTTCTCCATTGCCTCATTTTTCTAAAACCTGTGATAGAGATAACAATGATATGATAATACTTGTATGGTTTTATTCTAGTTATTGTTGGAGTGAGAATAGACAATAAAAGTAATAGTTTGGCTAGTATAACATTAATTGAATAAGCTATTTAAAGATTTAAAATCTAAAATTCAAAGGTTTTATTCAATAAGGATTCCAGTTCCTCAATAAATAAGGAGAAACATTACCTTCATGATATTATGATCATTCCATGTACCCTTGTTAGTCCTAAGACATCCACCATCGCGGGAGATGAAAGCACGAAATACAACACAGTCTCACAAGCATTTGCACTTATGAAAATCATGTCACATTGAACCAAATGTTTCCATCTGAACCATCTCAGAGGAGCACCAGCTTCTCCCCCGGTCGTTTCAATCTCACTCCTGCAAACAAGTGATTAATAAAGCAAGAAAGCACCGACAATGTTTCACACACATGTCGTGTACTAAGGAACAATGTATCGACAGTATTCAACTGTCATACTACACTGACTCGACAACTTGGTCGGACGGACCGACCTGCTCTGATACCACTAATGTAACACCATATCTCACCGTCAGTAATTTAACCAAAAACCAGAGTAAATTAATTCAAAAAATAAAAACATCAAAAATAGGATGTCACATCTCCGTACATACACGCATGTTCATATAATAAGATACACAACACATAATCACATATTCACCAAGTCTAAACTTCATTTCGTTTATTTACAGCGGAAAAACATCAACAACAGTTATTCTTAACTCTTTAACATGAGTTATAATTATCATAATTCAAACTTCAACAAGCATTATCAAATAAATCCAACAAAGTGGAGTTTTATATAGTTTAATCCCATCATAATAAAACAAACGAAAAACCCCCAAGTGTTACGTATCAGAGCTGACACCGACTTAATCTATGTAAAATGAGGCACTTCTCAGTGAGCCTCTACCTCGAGCTACTTCGGATCATCTATATGTTACCCATGTAGAGGCAACATTCAAACAGAAGGGGTGAGATATCATAACAATATAATAAGTTATATAATCATAGGTATACGGCGGATATATCACACAAGATTCCAAGCTCAACAATCATCAATCATAATTTATAATGATTATACAAGTACATACATATTTATCATCATCCATCATACAACACATACCAATTATGCAACTCAACTTTATCGTTATATCAACAATTCAATCAAATGCAATACAACTGACGCTGATGCAAGATGCATGTGGTACCAATAGGGCAGAACCCTCATCGTGATAATGAAAACTTAGGGAAACAACATCATAACACCAATACAGGTCATTATTCACCAATACAGACCATCATTCGCCAATACAAGCCATCATTCACCAATACAAGCCATCATTCATGAATGCATGCGACACTGACATGCAACAATGCAATTCACATTGATTATGCTTACACATTAATGTCACGCTAATACAAGCCATCGTTATCATCATTATCATGTAATACATCGTGCAAAATAATTGAATTATACACACAACATCATCTTACTCAATCGCATCAATATTCATCACACTTCATACAACATTAACACACAAGGCATAAGCCTTCACCAAAATAATCGTCATAAGATAAAAAATATCACATCACATCAACACCAAAATCCTCAAGATTAATTCCACAACAACAATAATTCATCATTAAAAATAGGACATTCCCAATTAATTTACTATACAAAGTATTTGCATACATTTCACAAAACGACATAACTCGACAGTACGAAACATTCGTCCATGCATCAAATAGTTAGAATTTTTGTACTTAAAATATTTTTAAGATAAAGTATGTTAAAGCACTGTTCCAACGACCTGAACTACGCGTCAATCGGATACCCGAAACTCAAGTTATGAATTTTTGAAGTTTTACAAAATTTACCAACACCAACAACCTACAACAACTGACACTGACACCACAAAACATCTTTACACACCCCATTAAATTTAGTTCCATAACTTGAAACCATTTTTACAAGAAATTATATTGTATTGGCTTTCTAACGATTCAAACGACACCCAAAATGGACTCACGGTTTGAAAGTTATTAACTTTTGAAAGTTTCATTTTTTTAAATTTACTCTCAGGGTAACCGATTACCCAATATGTGGTACTCGGGTACACCCAGTAAAAATGCCTAAAAATGTTGTTTTCCACGCGGTAATTGATTACTTATGTATTGTAACTGATTCCCCCCTGTACTAGAGTAAAAAAAACCAGTTTTTTATGTTATGGAAATCATCATTTTCCAACCCAAAACCCCAATTTTTCTACATCAAAATACATAATCTAATTTATCATATTGTCATACTACATCTACTATATTCAAACTCAATTCACCTAATCAATTTCATCAATTATGCACAATTTCAACGGATTAAATCAAAAACAATCTACACCCAAAACCTAACACTCAAGCTTACCTTAGGTTGTAGATTCCTCAAGCTTCAACAATGGTTCCTCTCTTCTTAGATCTTCCTCTTTCTCGCTTATGTTGTTCTCTCGTTTTTACGATCGATCAAAATAAGAATGCTCTTTTATTCCTCACTACTATAAAAAGGGAAAAGACAGCGCTTTTTTTTTGTCTTTAACAGCGCTTTAGAGCGCTGCCTAAAGCAGCGCTGCTAAAAGAAAAGACAACGCTTTTTTTCAACGTAAAAGCGCTGCCTTATGTCCACTTTAGACAGCGTGTTTAGAATAGACAGCGCTTTTTTATATACCCCTTTAGCAGCGCTTGGGCTTTAGACAGCGCTTTGTAATTTTTTCCAGATAGGCTTTAGACAGCGCTTTCCTTTGAAAGCGTTGTCTATTCCCCCACTTTAGACAGCGCTTTCAGACTTTAGGCAACGCTTTTTTTTTAAGTTTTTACAGCGCTTTTCTCCTAAAGCGCTGTCTATTCTTTACAATTTTTTTTAATAAATTATCTATTTTAATCAGAATTTTTATCATATTTGGTAGCTTCATTACAATATTTTGATCCAGGTTTTCAAAATTATCTTTTATGCTCCATATTTGGAAGCTTCATTCCAATAAAATATACATATATAAAAATCGCACATATATATATAAATTGATGATATAGACAACAACAATTACAAAATTTATGATACAAGTTAAAATTCTACAAGTTAAAATGCCTAAAATATTCAAAATTGAATTTACATCTATACATCTTTCTATCTTCAAGAATTCTCATGAAACAACAACAACATGAATATCTTAGCTCTATCTTCTACACATGTACCTATAAACCTGGAAAAAAAACCAAATGATCGAAATTCATAACATGATAATATTAACGTTGCACTTTATTCAAATTTAATTTATACTCAAAACTCGAAAGTTCTCATCAAAGGAAATAAGCCAATATACCTTAGCTTATAAAATTCTCAACCCGATAATGAATTGACACCATTCCTCCATAAGTTCATCCAATTGATCTTTTGAGTAATGTGCACAATTGAATTCCTCAAAGTACTACATATATAATAATATAACATAGTATGTGATTTAGTTAAAACAATATGTCATTTTATGAGAAACACAAAATATGAAAGTTGTATGTAATTCTTAAGTTAGAAATCCATACCGTGGATGAAATCTCTAATCGATCCAAAAGAATAGTTTCTTTCATAAACCTAAACATAAAATAGCCATAATCTATACCATTACGCTGGCGAGGACACTACACATGGAAAGAAAATATGAATATATATCAGGATATACCCCTTAAATTGTTTTATCAAGTATCATCACTAAAGTAAGCAAAACTGAATATCTCTTTGTGAAAATATACCTCCACTCTGATCCATGTAACGTTGTTCGCTCTACTTTTTGGTACTTGAATATCTCGTTGGGAGCGAAAAGCAAGTAGAATGCTATAATAAAATATAAACGACTGTGTGATACGGTGGGAGAACTGACTTGCGATTTTGCGTTTGTGTTCACAAATGTTTCGGTTTAGCAAGAGTCGCCACCGACTTTTTATTTTATCCTAAGGAAAGGTCAAAAAGCACAGGAAAGACCTTTGAGATGTTTTCTTGGGTTCAGGGAGTAGATTATAGAAATGGAAGGTATTAGCACCCTTTCTATCCATGGTTATCCATGGGCTCTTAGTTACTTGCTTAGATCCTTTGCTTTGCTTTTCAATTGTTTGAAATGGTGCTCTTCAATGGTATGGAATGATGCTTTGTGTGTGATTTTGAAAAATGTTTTGAAAAGAGGCCATTGTTTGTGGCAACCTTTGTAATGATTCTTGTTTGAATGTATACAAAGGTGTTTTTGTCTTTTGAAAAGTTTTCAAAGTTTGAAAGTAGGGTTTTGAAATTGTGTTGTGAAGTGTGTTTGAAAAACAGCAAGGATGTTTTTGCAAGCTTTTGATCAAGTAACTAAGAGCTATCTACCCTATTTTACTCAAAGATCTTTCTTATGTTTTCAACCCTTTTAACAGTGTTGCTTCACCATTGTATTTGGTGAACAACCTTATGTTAGGATTTTAAACGGGACAGGCGCGGGTCATCGTATAGACCATGATAGCAATTGTGTCAAGTATTTTTGGCAATTTTCTTTAAGGGACTTGATCATTTTGTTTAGGCAACTCAGATAGCGTCATCGAGAGACTATGATCTTTTGTTTTGTTTTTGTTTTGCCAAAGTACTTGACATGCAACCATGGCCTATTTTTGAAGGCAACAAGTGGATTGTAACCCTAGGGGTGCAAGTGTGCATTGTGTTTGTTTTTCATGCATATTTGTCTTTGATTAGGTCAAGCTAGTTGTTGATTTTATTTCGCATACAAACCCTAAATCTAAGCATGGCATAATTGGAAGCTTTTAAATGTGAGAGAATTTAAATGCTACACTATTACAACATGATATAGGGAGGGGGGTACAAATTTGAATTGGGGGTATTTGACAAGAAATTAAATTCTAAGTTATTACAATCAAATTGAATGTACAAGGTATAATACAATATTTAAATAAATACAATTAAATAAATATCAAATAAAATGTATTATGCAAAAAAGATTTTTATGTATGTAAAAAGTATTTTTCAATGTGAAGTAACAATAATAAATAAAAAAAGAAAGCCAATTTTAATTATTTTGTTATTTTAGGGCAAAAACCCTAATTCTTAAATAAATAGTATTATTTATTAATTATATACAATAATATATTAATTTGTACAAACAATAAAAGTATATTGAAAAAAAACATTTT